TGTGTGTGTGTGTGTGTGAGTGTTCCTAGTAAGGGTTATCCAATTCCTTTATGACCAAAGCAGGAGATGTGTTCGTATTCTTGGTTCAAAGTTGAGCTCGTTCTCTGGGCAAGTTAGACTCTGTCTGGGCTGTCCCTTGTCTCTGATCCTGTTTGTAGGGTTTATGGACAGGATCTCAAGGCTCAGTCATGGAGAGGAGGGCATCTGATTGAGAACTTCTGGATCTCATCTCTGCCTTATGCAGCAGATGTGGTTCTGTTGGCGTCTTCGAGCCAAGACCTTCAGCGTGCACCGAGGCGGTTTGAAGTCGAGTGTGAAGCGGCTGTGATGAGAGTCAGTTCCTCTGAGTCTGAGGCCATGGTTCTCACAAGGGTGGAATGCCCCCTCCAAGTAGGGGGGTGTCTCTGCCTCAACTGGAGGAGTTTAAGTATCTGGGTGTCTTGTTCACTAGTGATGGGTGGATGGAGCCAGAAACGGAGAGACGGATTTGGGCCTTGTCCTCAGTAATGAGGGTGTTGCTTCGGTCGGTCGTGGTGAAACGAGCTGAGTTGAAAGGCGAAGCTCTCGGTTTACTGGTCTGTCTACTTCCCAACCCTCACCTATGGACATGAGGTGTGGATAATGCCTGATAAAAGATCCCAGATACAAGTGGCCGAATATGAGTTTCCTTCATACGGTGGCCAAGCACAGCCTTAATTAGGGTGAGGAGCTCCATCATCCAGGTGGAGCTCGTAAAAACAGCTGTGTTGTTTTTTTTTTTTTAAGGCACAATGAGATATGGGCAGCTTATCAGCTAAGTCATTGTTTTTGAAAACCTTTGGATTTACAGTCCACACAGAGGAACAAAAACGGATTTCAATTTTTTTTGTTTTTGTTGTAAAATCTCAGCTTGTGTGTGCACTAGAATGCACCAGAAATGATTTGTTTTTGAAACTATCTGGTGTAGCATGGACAAGGCCTAACACAGTCAAAAACAATGCCAGAGTTTAAAAAAAAATCAAGTGCAAAGATAAAAGTTTAATTTTACTATAACTACTGTAAACATGTTTTGTAACAGTGTTCTGTTGTCCTAATTGTAGTCCCTGTGTTTTACTTCACGCCTCTCATTCAGTGCAAACTCCTGTTTTTATGAACAAAGGGGTGATCAGAGGATTCTTTTTCCATAAATATAATGGAGAGCTTGATGCATTTTGTGCAGAACAAATGCGACATGATGTGTAAAACCCACCTTTTATGTGAACACACAAAAAACCTGAGAGAGAAAACCAGAGTTAACAAAATTATGACCTCAGATTTTTGTACTTGTCATATTGACACCTTCTTAAAATAACCTCATTTAAAATTTTTAATTTAGCACAACATTTACTGATAATTTCATTCGAAAAATGGAAGAATGACTTAGACAATTAATCTAGGAAGATTTGAGGAAAGTTTTAGTTTGTCTAAATGAAAGCCCAGATATGACCAACCTATACATCTGAAATATTGGAATTTGTCAAACCTCACAAAATGATGTTGGGATTGAGTCTGAAGAACATAAATTATCTAGTTTAGTTGAATGTAAACTAATCGATGTGCATTGATGGGAATGTTTTTATTTAGATTATTCTCTAAGTTTTGTACTGTTTTTGCATTCTCAGTAAATTTCCAAAAGTATTTTTTGTCAAACATCGACGGTTTGGTATAAAAATTAATTTGCCTCAGAATTCTGTGTTAAGCAATGTGGAGATTTTCAGTCATACATGGCTCAACAGCGACTTCCATAAAGTCCACATCGTCCTCTAATCCATTTAATTGATTCACTACAAGAGTATATATTTACATTGATTTAAGTCTCTGTGGGTAATTTCAGGTCTGCTCCCTAATGATGCTCGGAGTTAAGCAGCTTTTGAAAGCGAGACATGGGCATTTTTTATTTATTTATTTATTTTTTGTCATAGACCAAATCAAAATGAAGAACACACTATAGTTACAGTGTGTGAGGAATAGTCTCAGCAGTGAGTGAGGTGTCTTTGGAGAACTGCCTGCCTGATTGTCAGAGTGGTCTGAACAAAGCACTAATCAGTGTGATTGTTGTCATCTGCTTCTGAAGAGGCACACGAGAGCCCGTGTTCAGCATGATTACTGCTCATCTGCTGGGCCTGTACTCAAAGGTATGCCAACACGCTTTAGGACAACAGCACAAATGCCCTATAATCAACATTTTAGCTTGCAACAATATGATGTCCCCCGCCTAGCCTGATTGGTTTGGATGACAGCAATAAAAATTTGAATCTCATTGAATGCTTCAAAAAAAAGGGAACAGAAAATTCAGATTGTCTAAACGTGATAATTCAGTTCTTTTACCTTCTGGGTTTTAGAAAGGTTACAAACAATCCATATGTTATCTGTTGGAGGTAGTTCTTTCAATGGCTTCATTGTTTCCATCTATAAATAGTTCCAGTCTCAAAGTTTTCAAAGTGGTAGTCTATTTTATATATCGTTAAGCTGCTGTAAGTCTTGCACTGTATAATTTATTTTTTTCTTGGAATTCTATGATTAATAAGAGCAGCAGCTAACTATTGCACTGCCACTGGGACAGCCATAGGAAATTGTTTTCTGCCTTATAATTATGCAAAATTTAATGATGATATCACACAGTTTTTAGCCTTTCGCACACTGGTCCTGCTCCATTCCACCTATTTCTGTACTTACTCTCCTCAGTATTACACCCCTTGGTCTCTTCAGCTCACAGTCAGATCCTCCTGTTTATCACATGTAACATGTGTTTCCTGCTCTGCTTCAGATTGAAGCAAGCCTCAAGATGTTCATGTTGATCCTGCCTCCAGGCTGTGTCTACATATGGGTCCAACTTTAACAACTCTCCTCTTAGTTTGACACTTTGGTCTTGGCTTCACGCAAACTATCCATCAGCTCATCAGTTTGGAAGCTCCTGTTTGACCATATACTGAATTTTAACAGAGATATTTATAACCAATAGCATAACCTTTCAACGGAAGCTCATTTCAACATTTCATCACTTTAACCTTAGAATTTTCAAAACATTTTATCAAAGCTCTTAATAGTCTTTTCCTCAAGTTCTTTCACACACTCAGAAAGCTATTGCATCTTTATCCTGGACCTTTCTAATTGGCTACTTATACAGGTTTTTTTCTAACCTCATTATTCAGTCGTGAACTCTACCATCACATAATCAAATTTGGTTTTCAGCTTTAAACACACATAGAAATATAAATTTATGCATTACTGCATTACTGTCAAATACAAGACAGAAAGTCGTATAACTCCAGTAATAAATGTTTAACCAGTCTTTTCTTTAAATATACATTTTAAATGAGTCTTGAAGTGAATTTGAAGTTTTAGTGCTATGTTTCTTTATTTTTAACTGGTTTAATGTGTCCTTGTAGTACAGTACAAATGGAAATGATGTGAGTCTATGATGACATTACACAAAGAGCTAACAATGTAATGACAAAATCCAACTGTTTTTATTTAGATTTATTACTGTTGGATAAAGGCAAGTGTTGTTTTTATTGGTAACCAGTTTTGTGGCAGAAGCACAGAATCTGATAATTCAGTTCCAGTTTGTCATTATTTATTGAACAAAAAAAAAGGAAAAAAAAACAAGCCACACACCTTGATTGTCCTTGAAGAGTAAAGTTTGGCAGCAACTACTAGAAGTAATTGTCGTTTTTATGATCTCATTGTGAAGGATTTTTATTTCTTTATTTATTTTATTTTATTTTTTATTCAAAGATCCTGCTTTGAGTAGTTACACACCGAGACTGTGGAACAATTTTCTGGAAGGTCTGAGATGAGTCCACAATCTGGACACTTTTAAACATAGACTAAATACTCATCTGTTTGGTTTGTTTTATTTGTTTTTCTTGGAAGTACTTTAAATGGCATAAACTTGTATGAAATAGAAACAAAACCAAAATGATTTGTTTTTGCATCCTTTCAAAAAACTACAGTTGTTCAGCTTTTTAAATTGTCCTACCATAAACTTTGACTGATGCCCTGATGCATCTCAGTAATCCAGATAAAAATCAAAGAAAAAAAAATTGTATAGGTCTTCTGGACGGGTTCTTCTCTAATGAAACGTTTCGTCTCTCCTCCAAGAGACTTCTTCAGTCTGAGAGTTTCAGGCAAAATTCAGGCTTTTAAGCCCTGCCTCCATGTGACT